AGCATATTTAATTGATAAGGCAATACGATATGTAATATGAAGCAAACAAAACAAAACAAAACAAAAAGAGAATCTCTTATATAAACTATAGACATTCTACTGCCCATTACAACCATCACATATCATTCTTCTCAATAGTCAAAAATGTTCTAAAAGTCTTTTAGAGTTAATGATGTAATTGACATGCAAGTACGACAGTAACTATGACATACATGAATACATTTAGAGCAAAGATATTGAAACACTCACAAAGTATATTTAAAAAAACACACAGTTACATGCTTTCGTAACGTAAAAATAAGAAGGGAAAAATAACGCTCGAAACACAGAACCCTCTGCGATTCATAGTATAAATTAACTATAAACATCCTGGACTTCCGTAGTTTGAATCTAGATCACTCAGAAAAAAATACCATTCCGATTTGTACCCTAGAAAGAAACCATTTGCAGCAGGAATTTGAACCATTCCCTGACGTTAAACAAAAACGTCCCAAAACGCGGAGGGAACTAACGACGATATTTCAGGAGTACTTTTAAGTATGAAATATATATAAAAAAAAAAGAATTTCGAAAAAGCCGGGAAGAGGACAGAGTGCTCACATAGTCAATAGCTTGATGATGTATTTTTAGCCCTGAACCGTTTGCTTTTTGCGTTGATATAGATCATCAACACATTCAGCAAAAGTATCTTATTTTCTTAGCACGATTTTTCATTTGATGGCACCACATCTCCAAATAAAAGTGACGCCACCCAAATTTGAACTTGATCTGTGTTTTGTGGTAATAAGCTTTGTGTATAAGTTTCATAACATTTGGTTGAAACAAACTAAAGTTAGAGAACGGAAACCAATTCCGGGATGTACGGACGGACGTACAGACGGACAAGGGTAAACCTTAATGCCCCATCCGCTACAGCGGTGGCATAACATGTAAATAAATTAGTCTTATTTAAACTCACTAAATGAACTTTTTAAAGTAATAATTACATTACATTTATGTTTCATAAGAGTTCGTACATTTGATAAATTTATCTTATTTCCCCAATTAATTTTAACATTCCCTACAGCACGAGCTTCTCGTGACAACGTCACAACAACGCATTGGAAAACAAACGAAAAATGCAATATTGCTTGTATTTTCACGATTGTAGCATAAAAATGTGATTATAGTAATGCTTCTTTTTGTGGTTTTATACGGTTGTGTAGGGTCCCGTACTTAAAAACAAAATGTGCTTTGGTCAACGTTTTTACCCCAATAAACTGAAATTGAGGCATTCAATTCTTAAATGTCTAAGCATAAACTATTTGCCATTGAACGTTAAGCGAACAATAATCAATGCTAATTGTTTATGTTACACATGTAATTTGATTTTTGAGTGTCTTCAGTTTTTCACAATGAATAATTGTATGCATCATGTAAAAATACATAATGATCTCTTTGGCTCCTCTTACCATGTGAACGGTATAAGAACCATAGAAACGGGCAAGGATTTTCAAAAGTTTTTTTTATTTCAAATTCGTCAAAATCAAACTAAAATTGTACTCTAGATGCTATTGAAAGCCAGTAAATCTAAACTACTTTTATGTCCAGTGTCAGCAATGTCTTTTCAATCCTGTCAAATATTACTAATTTCTCATGTAAAGCAGTACATTTAGTCATTTCGTTACATGAATTTTAAGAAACTTTTCCTCACACATTTTGAAATCGATCAGAATTCTGGTCGTGATGAGAGTCCTATTTTTCGGTTAATTGGAATAAAAGAATTGTTATTAAAAAAATTCTCTATACACCAAAATCCACTTCAGGTGTGCCAGTTGAAGTTTCAGACATTTCCAATAGGAACGTAGTATATAATTATGTGGCTTAATTTCTGTCATGTTAGTGACCCAATTAATCATCATGTACTGGTAAAATCAGCAAGACTTTGTAGAGGGTATCCGAAGAATCACTAGTTAAAATTTTGGCAAAAATAATACTTTAAAAAAAATGAATGTGGATAGTGTCCACATGTGGACACAGATGATGCCCCCGTAAACTTAAGTTAGAGAACGGAAACTAAATATTTTGCAATTTTTCCAAAATGTTTTTGCAAAATTCAAACTTGATCTGTGTTTTGTGGTAATTAGCATTGTGTATAAGTTTTATAACATTTGGTTGAGGCAAACTCAAGTTAGAGAACGGTAACCAATTTTGGGACGTACGGACGTTAAGTACGTACGTACGTTCAGACGGACAAGGGTAAAACTTAATGCCCCCTCCGCTACGGCGGGGGCATAAAAAATAACTTTTAGAGGAGAAATTTGAAAATTCACCAGACTTCATGCAGGAGCTTTTTAGGAAGAATTAAAAGAAGCTAGTATTGTCCTTAAACTTCACGCTCCTCTAAATAGAAAGTGTCTCTCATTCAATAATTGAAATGTTTGGCGACTATGTTGAACGCATCTATCCCATCGAACTTGAAATAAAGAATACAGTTTATACAGTTAAGTCTGCCTAATATCATGACTTATATCTTGAAATTGACAATTAGGACCGGTTGAGAACGAAATTTTTCTACGAAAATGATGAGTTAAGCTTTTTCAATTGTAAACTTTCCATTTCTATGTAACAACATTCCAGCAGCGCCTTCATATAGAGTATATATCTCCCAGTTGATATTATATTCCAGAGCTTGCATTTCCTATCTTGATTTCCTTGATAGTTGCTGCTTCTAAGGTGAAGTTGGTGTTCCAATTGATGTAACCGCAATCCGGTCCCCTTTTCTTTAACTTGTGACATCACCGTATATGAGAAAGACAAAGGTGTCACATGTATTGCAGGATCTGCCTACCCCTCCGGAGCATCTGAGATCACCCCCGTTTTTTCGTGGAAATCATGTTGCTCAGTCTTTAGTTTTTTTATGTTGTGTTTTGTAAACAGTTGTTTGTCTTTTGATAGTTAACTTTTATTTCATTGTTTTACCATGGCGTAGTTGGTCTTTAATTCATTAGTTTGAATATCCATATGTTATCTACCAACTCTCTTTTATATAAATAGTTGTCTCCGGCGAGCATGTTATTTTTTTTTTTACAATATGAAATTATTTGAATAAAAGAACATCAATGAGTTATTACAAGAACAAAGTCTCGTATGAATGACTTCACTAAAGCAAAAGTTAATGTTGGTTACAAATGCATTACCGAAGGCTGATTATGACAAGAACACCCGGTAACATAACAGAAAAGAATTGGGAAGTGTTCAAACTTTATTTCGGCTGGATGAAAAACAATGGGAAGTGTTCAAACTTTATTTGGGCTGGATGAAAAACAATGGGAAGTGTTCGAACTTTATTTCGGCTGGATGAAAAACAATGGGAAGCGTTCGAACTTTTATTTCGGCTGGATGAAAAACAATGGGAAGTGCTCAAACTTTATTTCGGCTGAATGAAAAACAATGGGAAGCGTTCGAACTTTATTTCGGCTGGATGAAAAACAATGGGAAGTGTTCTAACTTTATTTCGGCTGGATGAAAAACGATGGGAAGCGTTCAAACTTTTATTTCGGCTGGATGAATAAAATGCTCCGCTGGGGCGCAGCTTGATACGACCGCAAGGTCGAACCCTGAACAGTTGGAGCAAGTATGGACACAACATTCAAGCTTGATACAGCACTGAATTTGGATTGTGATTAAATATTTGACACAGCATAGGTTTCTGACACAGAATGAATGTGGTCTAAGAACTTAAAAAAATTTAATTTACCTATTCAACCCATATCATTATTATTTGCTTTTATATATAAATCAGAAATAACCAATTTAAAATGGAAAATTTTCAAGAAAAAAAAAGGAAAAAAAATCCCCCCCCCAAAATTTTTTGAACCCCCTTATGATTCATCAACCCCATGTCAATCCCAGCCTTTGAACACAAGTTATTGTCTGGAAACTAGAAAAATGCTTGTTTTTTTGGTCCCTTTTTGGCCCCAAATTCCTTAACATTTAGGGCAATTACCCCCAAACTCAAACCCAGCTTTCCCTTTGTGATACGGAACCTTGTAGTACAATTTCATAAAGATCCATACACTTACACACAAGTTATTGTCCTGAAACTAGAAAAATGCTTGTTTTTTTTGCCTCTTTTTGGCCCCTAATTCCTACAAATTTGAGGCAATTATCCCCAAAATCAATCCCAGCCTTCCCTTTGTGGTATGGTACCTTGCAGTACAATTTCAGAGAGATCCATACACTTGAACACAAGTTATTGTCTGGAAACTAAAGAAATGCTTATTTTTGGCCCCTTTTTTGGCCCCTTATTCCTAAACGTTTTGGGCAATTACCCCCAAACTCAATTCCAGCTTTCCCTTTGTGATTTGGAACCTTGTAGTACAATTTCATAAAGATCCATACACTTACACACAAGTTATTGTCATGAAACTAGAAAAATGCTTGTTTTTTGCCCCTTTTTTGGCCCCTAATTCCTAAAATGTGGAGGCAATTACCCCCAAAATCAATCCCAGCATTCCCTTTGTGATATGGAACCTTGTGGTACAATGTCAGAGAGATCCATACACTTACACACAAGTTATTGTTATGAAACTAGAAAAATGCTTGTTTTTTGCCCCTTTTTGCCCCTAATTCCTAAAATTTTGATGCAATTACCTCCAAAATCAATCCCAACCTTCCTTTTGTGGTATTGAACCTTATGGTAAAATTTCATAGAGATCCATTCACTTAAACTAAAGTTAGAGTGCGAAAGCCAATGTGTCTTCGGACGACGACGACACCAACTTTATTTCGGCTGGATGAAAAACAATGGGAAGCGTTCAAACTTTGATTTCGGCTGGATGAAAAACAATGGGAAGCGTTCGAACTTTATTTCGGCTGGATGAAAAACAATGGGAAGTGTTTAAACTTTATTTCGGCTGGATGAAAAACAATGGGAAGCGTTCAAACTTTGATTTCGGTTGGATGAAAAACAATGGGAAGCGTTCGAACTTTATTTCGGATGGATGAAAAACAATGGGAAGCGTTCAAACTTTATTTCCGATGGATGAAAAACAATCGAGTTTTTTAAAGGAAATTTTTAATAATAAAAGAAAAGATAAATGAATGATATCCTAAACAAATTATAAATAAGTTTTTACAATAACACACAACTTAAAGATCATAATTAACATTGTATAAAGATTATCAAAACATGTAGATGTGGTTTTTAAATAAATATTGCAGATGATTGCAGATTTAAAAGTATCATTTACTATCTATGTAATGTCTTTATTTTATGTTCCATGCAGCTGGGAATGTTTCTGATGACTGAACAGCACCACGACCATTTTTATCTATTATTTCTCCTGTGTTACCGTTCAAAATGATCAAAGTTGGAATACCACTCACTCCAAACTTACTACTGCAAGTAGCCTGTAATAACAAGGTTAAAATGGAATACAATTTCTATGGATATTGTATATATAATTATATAAATCTTGTTGAAGAATGTTTGTCTGTTGGCTGTTTGTGTCGTAATTTTCTGTTTGATTGACCTTTATCAAACATCCCATTTTATCTATTCATATCACAGAGGTTTATTGTAGCAACAGCGTTTCAAAGAAAGATTGTAATTATTAAATTTTTTGCCAACTGGCACTTCTTCATGTCACTTGTGACAACCTTAAAGTTATAACACAACAAACCTTCAAATCTCTTTTTTCGAAATCCATTGCTAGCCATGGCATTTCTTTATAATATTCATTAAAACTAGATTCATCACGATCAGAACTTATGAACACAATCCCAAAGTTTTTGGCTCCAGCTTTTTTCCAGTCTTCATACTTCTTTGCAAGAACTGGTGTGAATCCTCGACATGGCGGACACCAATGGGCGGAAAAGTACAAACCTGAAAACGTACATAAATATATTTTGAAAACATAAGTACAATGCAATTTGACACTCAGCGTTCATTGCCAAAAACGAACGCTTGACAAATAAACAAATCCAAGAATACTTAGGAATCAGGGTTACACAACTCACCATCATGATAATATATATATACATCCGAAAAAGAACAAAAAGTATTTATGCTTATTTTTTTGTCAAAATCCTACTGCCCATCCCCCGACCGAAAATCAAATTGTCTCCCCAAGGCTAGCTTATAGGCATCTGACAGATATGTAAAGTGCTCACACGTTACAACATACCACTGACCAAATATCATATGAAATCATTCTGTTCAATAGTTTCTGATAAAAGTATGACTAAAATATTTCAAAGTTGTACGAACGGATTGACAAAGTGAATGCAAAATAGCCTGGATTTGGGGTATAAAAAATAAGATTTTTGCAAGTAAAACTCCGACATATTTGATTGAAAATAAAAAATATAATTATTTTCAATTTTAAGAATCAAATGACAATAATAAAAAATAATAAATGGGGAATGTGTCCATGGGACACAGATGATGATGCCCCTGATTGCATATTATATAAAGTTATAAAGGGACATAACTGAAGAACAGTAAAAGTGATGCTACCCAAATTTGTACTTGATCTGAGTTTTGTGGTAATAAGTATTGTGTATAAGTTTCATAACATTTGGTTGAGGCTAACTTAAGTTGGAGAACGGAAACGAAAAATTCAGCATTTTTTCCATTTGTAAAGGGGCATAACTCTAGAACGGTTAAAGCGACACCACCAAAATTCGAACTTGATCTGTATTTTGTGGTTATAAGCATTGTGTATAAGTTTCATAACATTTGGTTTAGGCAAACTAAAGGTAAAGAACGGAAACGAAAACATCAGCAATTTTTCCATTTGTAAAGGGCATAACTCTAGAACGGTTAAAGCGACACCACCAAAATTCGAACTTGATCTGTGTTTTGTGGTAATGAGCATTTTGTATAAGTTTCATAACATTTGGTTGAGGCAAACTAAAGTTAGAGAACAGAAAACAACTTTGGGACGTACAGACGTTCGTACGTATGTACAGACGGACAAGGGTAAAACTTAATGCCCCCACCGCTACGGCGGGGGAATAAAAAGGAGAACTTTTAATTTATAGAATGCACATAAAAATATTCTCGAAATATATTTATGATAATAGATTTTTTTTTTTAAATTTGTATACATTTGTTTGTTGTTTTAATGATATATAATAAGTATTCCTATTTTGTTGTTACATAGTGCATCATTCAAAGTGGAATCATTTAGCGCTTTAAAGCCTTAAAACAGTAAATGTTTCGATGCTTTTCCGTTATAGCACAGTGTACAACGGTAAAAAGACCCTTTGATTAGTTTACATTAACAAAAGGGATATGTATGAAAGAGTCCCCTCCTTCAACCCCCTAAGGTAGCTACCATTTGATTTTTATGGGGGGGGGGGGAAGGGGGGATAAGGGGGGGGGGGGGGGGCTAGGATGAAATTTGAAAAAAAGGAAGGACAGAAGTTTTGAGTAAAAAAAAAGGCAGGATGAGCAACTTGGCAAAAAAAAAATAAAATGCTCCGCTGGGCGCAGCTTGATACGACCCCAGAGGTCGAACCCTGAACAGTTGGAGCAAGTATGGACACAACATTCAAGCTTTTTGGCCCCTTTTTGGCCCCTTTTTGGCCCCTAATTCCTAAAATTTTGAGGCAATTACCCCCAAAATCAATCCCAGCCTTCCCTTTGTAGTATGGTACCTTGCAGTACAATTTCAGAGAGATCCATGCACTTGAACACAAGTTATTGTCAGGAAACTAGAAAAATGCTTATTTTTGGCCCCTTTGGCCCCTTTTTCCTAAACGTTTTGAGCAATTACTCCCAAACTCAATTCCAGCTTTCCTTTTGTGATATGGAACCTTGTAGTACAATTTCAGAAAGATCCATACACTTACACACAAGTTATTGTCATGAAACTAGAAAAATGCTTGTTTTTTACCCCTTTTTTAGCCTCTAATTCCTACAATTTTGAGGTAATTACCCCAAAATCAATCCCAGAATTCCCTTTGTGATATGGAACCTTGTGGTACAATGTCAGAGAGATCCATACACTAACACACAAGTTATGTCTGGAAGTTACAAAAATGCTTATTTTTGGCCCCTAATTCCTTAACTGTTGGTACCATAACCCCCAAAATCAATCCCAACCTTCCTTTTGTGGTATTGAACCTTATGGTAAAATTTCATAGAGATCCATTCACTTAAACTAAAGTTAGAGTGCAAAACCAATGTGTCTTCGGACGACGACGACGACGACGACGACGCCAACCTCATACCAATATACGATCACAAATTTTTACGGTCGTATAATAAATGCAGGACACAATTTTTCATCCTAGCGCCCCCCCCCCCCCCCATAAAAATCAAATGGTAGCTCCCTAAACTGTTATAAAATAATCCATACAAACCTAACACAAAATTAAAACTCTGAACTGACAAATTCTGTTATTGTAACCAGAGACATATATGTCTCTGTTGTAACCAACATATAAACCATTTAAACTTGGATTTCCCAATACGTGAGATAATTCATACACAAATATTTACACATGTATGTCAACACAATCAGTTAACCTTGAATTTTCTGTAGATCTATATGTTGCTATTGTTTACATGTGTTATTGGAGATATATAAATTGTGTATTATCCTTAAACAATTAGATTTCTACTACATTTCATATCTATTGGAAACTTTGTTCAAATCATTGATTTTACGACAGAAAGAACTATACAAATCCTTGTTCAAATTAATAATTGTTCGAAATGAGAGAAAACATCAAAAGGTGATTAACACAATAAATCAACGAATAACAGTACCTATGGAAAGAGAACTGGTTAATCCAATTTGACAACTCGGCCGAAATTGAATACATATTTTTTTCATGAAACGAAAACAATAGTCAATACATATACACACAGGCACTTGTCTCAGAAAAAAAATTTCCTATATACCCTCAATGTATTAAGGTAGGCCTATATAGGAAATTTTTTTCTGAGACAAGTGCATGTGCATATACAGCAGTTTTTACCGTAAGTCAAAAAAATATCTTAAAATCAATGGACCATAAAGTTGTAAACTTAAGCTTGTTAAGATTGAATGGAGAGAGAAATCAAAATAGCATTGTTAAAATCTTACCGACAACCTTCTCTGCTCCGGTAAAAGAACTGGTATCTACAGCCCCATCTTTTCCTTTCACTTTATCTCCAATCAATTCTACAATGGCAGACATATTCAGTTATCTCGAGGTGATTATTTCACAACAAGTTCGTGGTCAAGCTATATTAAACTCTGATATATACTGACTCAGTACAGTTATTGACGTATGGATTATGTAGGTAATTATAAATGTAAAAACTATCAGGTATGAACACGTTTCCCGATCATGGAAAGTATTTACATGTACATACGTGCTATTAAAGAGGTATGGGAATGGAAAATAAATAATGCATGGAAAATATTTGTTTATGGACACAATAACAGATGTAAATGATCCGTTGATTGAAGTTTGATAATATATTCGTTTACAGTAGGAACTAGAGAAGCTTGATATTGTCTGAATTTGGATTGTGATCAAATTTTTGACATAATGTAGGTTTCTGACACAAAATAAATGTGGTCAAAGATCTTAAATGACATTTAATTTACCTAGAATGGTCTGATATCCAAAATCTAACAACATGGTTAGATTCAGCATATAAAAAAACACCAATAATTTAATTTTAGTTGAAATCAAACAAAGTTTAATTTTGGACCCTTCAAACCTGAATATGAACTAATTTGAAAACAGGGCCCAAAATAAAAATCTAAATGCTCAATAAGATTCAGCAAATCATACAGCCGCAATAATTCAGTTTTTGATGAAATCAAACAAAGTTTAATTTTGGATCCTTTTGGCCTCAATGTAGACCAATTTAAAAATGGGGCCCAATATCCAAAAAAATTATACAAGGTTAAAACCCCCAAAAATTAAAGACTTAATTAATCCCATCGAAATTGGTTAAAACATTCGTATTTGTTTTCAATTAAAGATTTCTTGCTATTGCGCAATACTGTGCAATTGAAGATTTCTTGCTATTGTATGTGCAATACTGTGTTGTTGCGCAATACTGTGCAATTGAAGATTTTTTGCTATTGCGCAATACTGTGCAATTGAAGATTTCTTGCTATTGCGCAATACTGTGCAGTTGAAGATTTCTTCCTATTGCGCAATACTGTGCTATTGTGCAATACTGTGCCATTGAATATTTCTTGCTATTGCGCAATACTGTGATATTGCACAATACTGTGCTATTGCACAATACTGTGCAACTGAAGATTTCTTGCTATTGCGCAATACTGTGTAATTGAAGATGTCTTGCTTTTTCCCAATATTGTGCTATTGTACAATACTGTGCTATTGCGCAATACTGTGCTATTGCACAATACTGTGCTATTGTGCAATACTGTGCTATTGCGCAATACTGTGCAATTGATTTCAAAAATTTTGAAGAAAAAAAATTAACCTCCCAAAAAATTGGAAAAAAAATTGCTATTGTGCAATACTCTGTTGTTGCGCAATACTGTGCAGTTGAAGATTTTTTGCTATTGCGCAATACTGTGCAATTGAAGATTTCTTGCTATTGCGCAATACTGTGCAGTTGAAGATTTCTTCCTATTGCGCAATACTGTGCTATTGTGCAATACCGTGCAATTGAATATTTCTTGCTATTGCGGAAAACTGTGATATTGAAGATGTCTTGCTTTTGCCCAATACTGTGCTATTGAGCAATACTGTGCCATTGCGCAATACTGTGCAATTGAAGATTTCAAAAATTTTGAAGAAAAAAAATGAACCCCCAAAAAATTGGAAAAAAATCCCCACAACTTTTTGCCCCCCCCCCCCCCTTCCATTTTGGAGTAATTAACCCGAAACGCAATCCCAGCCTTCCCTTTAGGGTATGGAACTTTGTAGTACAATTTTAGAGAGACCCATACACTTAAACACAAGTTATTGTCTGGAAACTAGAATAAACAGCTGCGCCATGCGCGCATGATACGCCCGTCGAATTTTCAAAGAATAAAGTTCAATCAGTTCTCAATGTCATATCAGAAATTTATGAAAATCGAAAGGGAGCTTTTGTCAATTCACCAAATTTTCATGAGAACTGCTGCAAGCATTTTTGAGGTATTTTCCGAAAACTGGAAAATCCCCCCTTTTTATACGACCGCAAAAAAAATTTTGTGGTCGTAAATTGGTATGACGTTGGCGTCGTCGTCGTCGTCGTCGTCGTCGTCTGGCGTCGTCCGGCGTCGTCCGAAGACGCATTCGTTTTCGCACTCTAACTTTAGTTTAAGTGATTGGATCTCTATGAAATTTTACCACAAGGTTCAATACCACAAAAGGAAGGTTGGGATTGATTTTGGGGGTTATGGTACCAACAGTAAAGGAATTAGGGGCTAAAAAGGGGCCAAAAATAAGCATTTTTGTAACTTCCAGACATAACTTGTGTGTTAGTGTATGGATCTCTCTGACATTGTACCTCAAGGTTCCATATCACAAAAGGAATGCTGGGATTGATTTTGGGGGTAATTGCCTCAAAATTTTAGGAATTAGGGGCCAAAAAAGGGGCAAAAAACAAGCATTTTTCTAGTTTCATGACAATAACTTGTGTGTAAGTGTATGGATCTTTCTGAAATTGTACTACAAGGTTCCATATCACAAAGGGAAAGCTGGAATTGAGTTTGGGGGTAATTGCCTCGATAATTTAGGAATTAGGGGCCAAAAAGGGGCAAAAAACAAGCATTTTTCTAGTTTCAGGACAATAACTTGTGTGTAAGTGTATGGATCTTTCTGAAATTGTACTACAAGGTTCAATATCAGAAAGGGAAAGCTGGGTTTGAGTTTGGGGGTAATTGCCCTAAACGTTTAGGAATTTGGGGCCAAAAAGGGGCCAAAAAACACATTTTTCTAGTTTCCAGACAATAACTTGTGTTCAAGTGTATGGATCTCTCTGAAATTGTACTGCAAGGTACCATACCACAAAGGGAAGGCTGGGATTGAGTTTGGGGGTGATGAATCATAAGGGGGTTCAAAAAAATTGGGGGGGGGGGGGGGTTTCATTTTTTTTTCTTTTTTTCCTTTTTTTTTCTTTTAAAATTTTCCATTTTAAGTTGGTTAGATCTGATTTATATTTAAAAGCAAATAATAATGATATGGTAGGAGATACACACCAAACAGGATGTGTAAATTATTATATAATAAGTATTGTGCAATAGCAAGAAATTTTTAATTGCACAGTATTGCACAATAGCAAAAAATCTTCAATTGCACAGTATTGCGCAATAGCAAGAAATCTTCAATTGCACAGTATTGCGCAATAGCAAGAAATATCCAATAGCACAATATTGCGCAATAGCAAGAAATTGTCAATGGGGTTTTATTCTTGAATTCTTGGGGTTCTTTAATATGCTGAATCTAACTGTGTATTTAGTTTTTGGATTTTGGGCCCCGTTTTTAAATTGGTCCACATTGAGGTCCAAAGGGTCCAAAATTAAACTTTGTTTGATTTCGTCAAAAATTGAATTATTGGGGTTCTTTGATATGCTGAATCTAACCGTGTATTTAGATTCTTAATTTTTGGTTCCGTTTTCAAATTGGTCTACATTAAGGTCCAAAGGGTCCAAAATTAAACTTAGTTTGATTTTAACAAAAAATGAATTCTTAGGGTTCTTTGATATGCTGAATCTAAACATGTATTTAGATTTTTGATTATGGGCCCAGTTTTCAAGTTGGTCCAAATCGGGGTCCAAAATTAAACTTTGTTTGATTTCAACAAAAATTGAATATATGGGGTTCTTTGATATGCTGAATCTAACCATGTATTTAGATTTTTGATTTTTGGGCCCCGTTATCAACTTTGTCCACATTGAGGTCAAAAGGGTCCAAAATTAAACTTTGTTTGATTTCATCAAAAATTGAATTCTTGGGGTTCTTTGATATGCTGAATCTAACCGTGTATTTAGATTCTTAATTTTAAGTCCCGTTTTTTAAATTGGTCTACATTAAGGTCCAAAGGGTCCAAAATTAAACTTAGTTTGATTTTAGCAAAAATTGAATTCTTGGGGTTCTTTGATATGCTGAATCTAAACATGTGTTTAGATTTTTGATTATGGGCCCAGTTTTCAAGTTTGTCCAAGTTGGGGTCCAAAATTAAACTTTGTTTGATTTTAACAAAAATTGAATATATGGGGTTCTTTGATATGCTGAATCTAACCATGTATTTTGATTTTGGACATTGGACCATAATAGGTAAATTAAAAAAATTCAAGTTCTTAGACCACATTCTTTCTGTGTCAGAAACCTATGCTGTGTCAAATATTTAATCACAATCCAAATGCAAAGCTGTATCAAGCTTGAATGTTGTGTCCATACTTGCCCCAACTGTTCAGGGTTCGACCTCTGCGGTCGTATCAAGCTGCGCCCTGCGGAGCATTTTATTAATGAATAAAACACCATAACTCGGAAACGTAAAATCTAAAATTTATGAAAATGGAAAGGGAGCTCATGTCAATAGATATAAACAATTCACCAAAATGTCTTGCAAATTGGTGAAGGCATTTTGGAGTTATTGTCCGAAAACTGGAAAATCCCCCTTTTTTAATGAATAAAACCTCATAACTCGGAAACGTAAAATCTGAAATTTATAAAAAACGAAAGGGAGCTCACGTCATTAGATATAAACAATTCACGAAAGTTTTATGCAAATTGGTTTAAGCGTTTTTGAGTTAATGTCCGACATGTTGACGACGGACGGACGGACAGACGGACAACGGTATACCATAATACGTCCCGTAAACGGGCGTATAAAAATGCTTGTTTTTGGCCCCTTTTTTGCCCTCAATTCCTGAACGTTTAGGGCAATTAACCCCAAACTCAAAAACTTGATCAAGCGTCTCCGTGAAGGGTAATAGAGTCAGTATTTGCCATAGGATAGAGTCGTATTTAATAAAGCGCACACTTGATCAAGCGTCTCCGTGAAGGGTAATAGAGTCAGTATTTGCCATAGAATAGAGTAAATTAACACCCTCGTATAAGCCAATCAAAATATTGCATTTTTACGTGAAGTATAATAAATACAATTAACGGATTATAGAAAAGTTAGCAGATAGCAAATTAATATATTTATTAATAGTACGGAAACACATGTATTTGTTTTGGTAAACACGTGTGTTTG